GAGTTTAATAGAGACATTGAAAATCAATAGATTGTGACCAGCATCCATTGCCTAATATGGAGAAATGGGAGAGAGTCTCTCAAAATTACCAATTTGACACTGTCTAATTTATATATTTCAAATTTAGAAGTCACCCAAGATATTTGTGCTCAATTACAATTTGAAACACATTTACAAAGACCTAAGCAGCAGTGCTTTAAAATATTCAGATTAGAACCCACTTTAGCATTTTATTTTATTCATTTTTCCTTTTTTAGAGAGGTTCTTGCTATAGGGCACGTGCGCTCACCAGACAGAGAAAGACAGAGAGATAGAAAGCTAGAAATCACCCCCTGGGGAGATGGCCACACCACAATCTCTTCTCCTCCATTCTCCTCTCGGGATCTTGGGCACGCACGCACACGCACCTGGTGTGAATTTTTTAAGCCACCCGATCCCGGACGTGAACTGTGATCCACCACATGGGAGTCCAGCGACATAGTCATTATGCTAACTGCTGGTCCCAGCATTTTATTTTTGTAAACCTTTTGGTCTCTACAATGGATCAGCAGTATTTTTTAAAGCAATGAAATAAAAGCAAAAATCACCTTAACAAATATAAATAGAACATGTAGAAAGTAACCCTTTATGATAATTGCTAATAAAAATTTGTATGTCTTTACAAGCAATGAATCTCAGTATAATCATGTTACAATGGAATTCTTATGCTCTTTATGACTGCTTTAATTTAAAAGAGACATGAAAGCCTTACTAAGAGAAAATGAACATCAGATCATAACAATGGTTTGAGTTATGCATTCCACCCTATAGTCTTTCCTTTTTAATATGTTTTACAAATTTCATTGAAGTAAAAAAAAAAATTTATAAAGTGCCTTAACATTTTGATGAATGAATAGCAACTGTCTACTTTTCCTTTTGAATGTGTTCCCAAAATACGTAAATAAAGAAAACCAAATGAGACAGTAAAAATGAAGCAACAACCACAAAGGACAATAAATTTTATCTTCTCCTAGGCTAAATGTTCCATTTGTGTTAAAGTGAAATTATTTTTAAAAGCAAGCAGAACCAGAAAGGAATCTGACAATGGATGTACTCTGTTTTTGTCATTTCAAAGCCCAAAGTACTTATATGCAAAGATATAGTAAAGTGCTATTCAATTTTCAGAAGTTATGAGGGTTCATTTGCTACCAATAGAACCTAAGCCATTTACTGATGCATCTTTTTAAAATCATAGATATCTTATTTTCTTTTCAAAACTTCACAGTGAAGGGAGCCAATTTT